AGTTACGGAACTGCACAGTGATGTTTGGATATGGCAAGTCAGATGTCTTGTGAAACACAGAGCTATTGTATATACCGTAATACAGTACAGTGTTGTATATAAGACTTCAAACAAAAATGTTAGTACCGGTAAATCTAATGAAACCGTGACTGTTGTGTGCATAGGTAGTTGGTTATATATATATGTACAATGTAGTTTATGGCAGTAGTCAAAATGACCAAGATTTTAGAAATTGAGTTATCTCCACAATTTGTATGAGATTTGATTCATTTACCCCCGATACATATACCGGTACCGTGGAAGGTACCTTTCATACATATACACAATTTAAAACTGTATTGTATAATTTGCAGGTTGATAATAATGTTACAAGGCATGTGGACCCCGAGTTAGAGAATACAGACTGGAGTGTAATGATATTACACTACCTGGGGTTAGATCATATTGGCCATTTAGCTGGACCAACAAGTCCTCTGGTTGGCCCCAAATTACAAGAAATGGACAAAGTTATTGAAAAGATTTACTCATCGGTTACAAAACAGGTACTGCTCAGTTTTAGTTGAATCAAAGGCAGATAATATAAGGGCATGGATTTAGAGTGATAAAGATATCTAGAGATCATGAGACAGGCAAATTTAATTCTCTAATTTTTCCTGCTGTGGTCCTGTTCTTGGAGGCCATTTTTTATTTGCACTGATGGAAAATTTGCTTGGAACTCAAAGTGAAATTTAAATATAGATATGCAAAATAATGTCTTTAATAATGCTCCTCTAAATTAAGCATATTTGAATTAAATGTACAAAAGAATATGATTTTAACAGACGTTTATGCACTGGGCCACAGGTAGCTAGATATCTGTCAGAGAAGGAAACCCAAGCAGTTTTCCCTTATAGCAGTAGTTTCTCCCACAAGGAAATTTCTCCTAAGCTAGCTTAGCTGAGCTTCCTGTCTTATCATATTATTAAATCAAGTATTTGGTAAAATACTGACTCATTGATCTGAGCTAATAAGATTATATTTTCACAGGATAAAACTAGTGATCTGCCAACATTGATAATTTTATGTGGTGACCATGGTATGAGTAATATTGGTAGTCACGGTGGTGCGTCGATTGGTGAGACTACAACCCCATTGGTAATGATGAGTACTTTTTATGATAAGTTTGGTAAGTTACCACATGTTTAAATAGTCACAGTTGATGTAATGCACCATATTCAATATGGGTACATGCTATGCATACACAATACGCATGCATTTAATTTACCTATTTTGATGTTTTAGGCAAATTTCACAGAGTTTTAAGTTCACAAACTTGGCAGGAAAGTTTTATTGTTTAAATCTCATGGATTTAATTTAGCGGTTTTACTTATTGACGAAAATAGCAAAATTAAAATCCAGATAATAATTAATGCGTTTACAGTACATTGTTTACAATAATTAAACGTTCACTGAGTGGTGATTGCTTTAATCCAGAGACACTTTAACAAATTTGTAATGGAATTCCTGAATGTAGTTTCAGTCTAGCTGATGACCCTCAAATAAACTTAATTTCAGGTCTGCCATATACGGCAAGTGAAATACAACAGATTGATGTTGCGAGTACGTTATCATTGCTATTAGGTGTTCCTATACCACAGAACAGTCTAGGTAGAATTATAACTGATGCAATTAAGCACCATGACAACTAGAGAACAACTCAGAGCACTGCAGTTAAATGCAAATCAACTGATGAATGTCCTGGCTACAAATGTCAACTCATTATACACAGGTACTATTCATAAATATGGATATGTTGTTGAATTTATACAGAAATATAAATTTGTTATAGAATAGGTGATTTTGTCTATTTTCTGTGAATTGGTTGAAGAAAACACTGAAAATTATTAATAATTGACCAAAAACTGTATGTCTGCCAATTTTGATGCCATGTATCCACAACAAATGCCTTGTGGTTATCAAGTTTTATATTTTATTTTTTTGTAGTTTGATAATTAGCCATCTGATGATAATAAGTTTGTTTGAGATTTGTTTCCAAATCTTTTGTTATCTTTCAGTCACTTTCATTGGCTAACAAAATAAGCATACAATCAAATTGTATCATTTGCATATGCACAATGCGTTTGTAAGGCATCCTGTGATTGGTCGAGAAATTTTCTTAGTGATCAAGTGAATGGAAGAATTCACATTTGAGTTTGATCAACAACAAAAATAAAAAAAAAATAAAAATATTCCTGCAAATAAATAATAGCTAAAAAATCAATCAATCAAAAATTTAAACTGAAAAAAACGAAACAAGAACAAATATTATATTTTAATTGATTGGATAACATAAAGATAAGGAATTATTTACTTTCATTCATTATTTGAAGTTGTTAACTAACCCTGCAAATTCATCTCAATATTTTTCTTTTCAGAGCCAAGTTATTTGAAGTATAACAGATCTGTGCAGTTACATGCAAGTTGGCTTGAATCATACTTACAAGAAGCAGACAATATCAACCACAATGTATTAGGAAAGAAGGTCATTACCCAGTACAATACTGCCATTATAGAAATGAGTAATCGTATATCTGCCTCATTAGCAAGATATGATGAATATGCCATGGTCATTGGGACCGTCTTATTCTGGCAGGTAACACAAAAATAACATTTATATGATAGTATTGTACATCTAATATGGTAACCTTTGGACTTTCAAAATGCAATTATTGCCAGTATTTGCATTCAATAACTATGATTTAGATTTACGTATAAGATGGAAAGATATTGTCACTTACATTCCAAGTATGAATGAACTTCTAGTAATTCTCAGTTATATTTTATATCTCATCAAATAGGTTTTGATTTCTTTTCTCTATGGTGCTTGGCAATTGAATGGAGGTCACATGACCAGCATCAGTCTTCCTATTGGTGGACAGTCTTCCATATTCATCCTAATTGCGTGTTGCTTAGCAACCACTTCTGTGCATATTAACATATGTACAGACACAACAGGGACTCCAAGTGAGGTGTTATGTAACATGTCAATACCAGCAATATGTTTGTCCACTGTTTTCATTGTCAGTTCATCTTTCACTTTGACTGTTTTGATTGGTCAACTTGGAAAAATACCAAAGCATCAGGTAGGCATGTATATCACATGTATTGAATTTTTTTCTACATTCTCGTTTTGTTAGCTCACTCACATTTCTCATTTTCACATTTGCTCACTCTTATATCGCACCTTTATTTGTTCACTCTCATTATTTTATTTGCTAAATCCCATTTCTCAATATTTTATTGGCTCACTTTTATTGTTCAATGTTTTATTTGCTCACTCTCATTTTCCATCTTTGCTTACTTGCATTTTAATGGCTCTATCTATTGATTCACCCTTGTTCCTCATTATTACTCATCTTATTTGCTTACCGTTGCGGTATTTCTCATTTTATTGGTTCACTCATTTCTCATTTTATTGGCTCACTCATTTCTCATTTTATTGGCTCACTCTTTTCTCATTGTATTGGCTCCCTCATTTCTCTTTTTATTGGC